GTATGAATGAAACTATTCCAGTCTTGATTGGTGTTGTGTCTTGATGTAACATGTGACGGCATAAACGGATTCATAAAAGTGACGCTGTCACACACACACACATCAGCCTCACGATGAAGCAAGACGCACTAAGGCCTCGAGGGGCATGGCAGGATGACGCAGTGTCTCGTTCCCTTCTCAGGGAACATGGGTTATAATCATAACCCGAGACGTTCCCTTTCAAGGGAACTCACACTGCATCGTTGAAAACGACTCTTTGGGAAGCGAATGCCCACTAGGCCACGCACCGAAATAGGCCTGCGTAGGAGTGAAACTGATATAGGCACTCAGCTAATACGAGAGCACATGTGCGCCACGCGTACTAGGGAGGTGCAGACTATAAAACCTGATAAAAGTGTGCAGGGTAGCCCAACCGGCTGCCTCACAGATCTCCTGGAGGGGCACCTCGAGAGGAGGGCCCTAGAGGACGCCATGCCTCTAGTCGAATGAGCCCTTACGGCCAAAGGTGAAGGCAAATTGCGCACCTCATAAGCCGAAGCAATAGCCTGAACAATCCAATTACAAATGGTTTGCTTGGATGCTGGGAGCCCCTTCTTAGGTGACCCAAAACACAATAACAGTTGGTCCGACCTCCTCCAAGAAGAGGACCTCTCGAGGTAAAAACTCAAAGCTCTGATGGGGCAGAGCAAATGAAGCTTCTCTTCTTCTGCCGACACATGAGGTGGAGGATGGAACGCCTGAAGAACCGTAGACCGACCTGTGTTAGCAGGCACTTTAGGCACATAGGCACACTAGGGTGCAAAAAGGCCTTAACCTTGCCAGGGGCAAACTCCAATCAAGCTGGTATCACTGCCAGGGCTTGGAGATCTCCCAGAGAGGTAATAGCTAAGAGAAAGACCAATTTGAGTGCAAAATCTTTAGGTGAAGGGATAACCCTTCGAGAACCACTGCCAGATCCCAGGCAGGAACCCTGGACCTGATTGTCGGTCTCATCCTCCAAGTACCACAGAGAAAACGAATGAACAGCTGGTGCCTGCCCAGAGGCCCATCACTTAATGGTGCGTCGAAAGCTGCAATGGCAGTCACGTACACCTTAAGCGTGGAAGGGGAGAGACCCGCAGAGAAACGATCTTGAAGAAATTCCAGAACTGAAGACACCGGGCAGTTGACTGGATCTAACTCATGTTCTCTACACCAAGTGACAAACACATTCCACTTGAGGCCATATAATCTCCTAGTAGACAGAACCCTAGAGCTAAGTATGGTTTCAACCACCCCGGCTGATAGACCAGCATTTAGGTACTGAACCCCCTCAGAGGCCAGACACAGTTTCCACAGCTCTGGGCGAGGGTGGAAGATTGTGCCCTCCGCCTGAGACAACAGATCCCTCCTCAGAGGAATCTGCCATGGCAGAGCTATCAGGAGTGATATTATGTCTGAAAACCATACTCGGGCCGGCCACATTGGGGCAATCAGAAGTAGACTGATACCCTCTTGACGGACCCTCTCCAGGACTCCCGGGAGCAGAGCGATTGGAAGAAATGCGTCCAGGCGAAGCCTCGGCCAGGCCTGTACCATGGCATCCAACTCCAGTGGGAATGGATGTGTGAGGGAGAACCAAAGTGGGCAGTGGGACGTCTCTCGAGACGCACATAGATCCACTTCCATTGGTCCAAACCCTTGCCGGTTCAGATAAGCTACCACTGATGTATTGTCCGATCGTACTAGGACATGGTAACCCTTGATGTCTGGAAGGAAGCTCCTCAGAGCCCTGAACACAGCCAACATCTCTAGACAATTTATGTGCCAAGAATGATGATGCTCATGCCACAGACCCCTGGTAAAGCAGCCGTCCATGATGAACAGGCCAGAAGGCGAGAGCGGCGCATCAAGGAAAAACGATTTATCTTTTTCCTTTATACCAGATAAATTCAGCCACAGATGCCTCTCCGTGGCCACCATAACTGCCATAGAACGGCCAATGGCACGGGCCGTCTCTTTAGTGGCCCGGAGAGACAAATCTGTGGCCTTACACAACTCCGTGATATCTTACAGAGTTGGCCTCTCCCCCTCGTCCAAACCTTTCAGGAGGTCGGCCTAGTATGCCTGCAAAGCCATCGAATGCCAATCTCAATCGCCACGCCGCCTCAACGGACACGAGACCAGAACCGTGAGGAACGCGAGCCTGACAAAAGACCGCTGAAGGACGGGGGAATCCCAGCATAACACTATCTGTGACATTGCAGTCGGCATCATTAATATTCACACCCCACTGTCTCAAATCAAGCCGTTCGACCGTGTGACGTCACACAGTGCAATAAGGAACACAGCAGTCATTTCGAAATCCACAATGAATGCGTCTAAGGTTATCAGTGTATGAGCCCGATAGGTGGCGCTACAGCAACCAAAAGTACCAAATTGCTCATAACTCCTAGACCGTTTGACTTAGATCGGATCATAGGTGGCGCCATAATCGTCAAAAAGGTCTCTCATTATTAGGTGTTCAAGCACGAAGTGTATTTCCAATGGTAAATTGCCTGTATTGGCTGTAAATGGTGTTTTCCATCTATTATGTCAGTGGATAAATGAAAGTTAAATGAAATTGAATGCCTTTTGATGCTTTTGTGCTTAAAAGCCTGAACTGCTTGAACACCGATAAATGCTGCTTGCAGCTTTAATTATATTAATCTTTGCAAATCGCTTGCACACTCCACGATGAATGCATCTAAAGTTTACACTTAGGGTACATTACGGCAAGTTTTCTATCTATGATGTCCTCAATATAATTCATAATCCCATGTTTATAATGAACAATGCGTTATAGTTATAGTATTATAAATGGTGTACGCAAAGAACAGAGGGGCGGGGAGAGCAGAGCTCATTATCATTTAAAAGCATGTGCGCTGAAACGGCGTGCTGAAAATAGAGCTGTTTTTGACCAGGTAAAATAAATGTTTTCTTACAATACTAAAGAGAATTTTTAATTAAAGTGTATTATAAACTTTCAATTTAGACCCTAAAGAATCATATTAGCTCGTACAAAAATGCCATTATAAAAAGAGAAGAGAAGTTAGTTTCTGCTCCAGTACTTGGGGATGCAAACTTTACAAAGCCCTTTTATTTGGAAATTGAAGCTAATCACCAGGGCTTGGGAGCAATTTTGTCCCAAGAGGGTGAGGGGGGAGGAAGACCGATTGCATACGCAAGCCGTGGGTTGAGGTCATCCGAGCGATACATGGAGAATTATAGTGCTATGAAGTTAGAGCTGTTAGCACTGAAATGGGCAGTCACCGATAAGTGTTGTGACTATTTGGTTGGTTTTTGTTGTGATTTAGTAGGTCGTTTTTTGTGTTTACAGATGATAACCCGTTCTGGAGACTGACAAATTTGGAGTTATTTAGCAGAGATGGGTTTCGGAGCTGGCTAGATTTGACTTTGAAATTCATTATAGACCAGATAGGTCATCAAAATGCAGGAGCAAGTTGCATTATCACGGCAGACAGTTGGTAGCTGAACCTGTGTTTGGAGGAAGCATATTCAGTTTCAAAAGAATGATCATGCATTGATTGTTAATGAGCAGACAATCGCATGGAACCTTCAAGTGTTTTCACCGGAGGTGTGGGCATCCCTTTAAGTTTTCTGGTGTATTGGAGTCAGCGAGTTAAACCTGGCAGATTGGCAAGGGCTAAAGAGGATGGTAAGTCCTTGGAACTCCTGCAGCAATGGGAGACGTTGATACTAGGCAAGGACAAATTAAACAGGTGCTACTCCCTCAGAGCATGAAGGAGGAAGTCCCTCGTGGGCTACATGATGAACATGGGCATCAGGGTGTTGAGCGCACTTTTAAGCTGGTCAGAGCTAGATGTTTTTGTTTCAAGATATTGAAACTTACTGTAGGCAATTTGAGAGACGTATTGTGGCAAAAGCCCCAGTGCCAAAGTTAGTAATGGAAATGGGCAGGTTGTTGGCTAGAAGACCATTTGAGGTAGTAGCCATGGATTTTACTTTCTAGAGCCTTCCAGTCCATCACTGGAGAATGTCTTAATTTTAACTGTTGTGTTCTCCAAATTTGTGGTTGCAGTACCTATCTGGACCAAATAGTGGTATCTGTGACAAGATCTATGCTGCCCTACAAAGCAAAAAGGCAGTAACTACGCAGAGAGCAGAACTAAGAAAAATTACTTTTGCTAGGGCTTTTTGCAGTTACTATACAAACCACTACCATTTTTCTCTAAAACGACACGCATTTAAGATAAGATGTTTTGTCACATAACAAAGGATGCCTTGAATGTCATGAAAGTTGTAATAATTAATGCTTTAACAAAACTGCAGTTACTGCCTTTTTGCTTTGTAGGGCAGTATTGTTGGGAAGAGGATTCATAAGGATGGAGTTCCCCAACGAATTCATTCGGATCAGGGGAGATGTATACAATAGTCCCTGTGGAGGGATCTTGCCCACCCAAAAATACGCATTGAACAGAATTGAGGCCATGTGGTCCAGGGTTGGTAGGGTCATTCAATCAGGAGGTGCAGAGCCATAGTGATTTAGTCTCTGATAGTGATCAGATGAAGCATGGGTTGTTAGAGGAGAAGCCTCTACTGAATCATTGCCAGGGGTGGGAAGTTGACCTGAATCTGTGTTGTGTAGTAAATCAGATGTAGATCTGGTGGTACAAATGGATTTGGAAGATTTAAATGGTTAAATCACCTCCAGTCCAATTGGGGCGGTCTGGTCGGCAAACAGCAGGGGGGCATTCTAACATATTTAATTTACCCAGATCAGTCGCAGTTAATGGAGACGCTAGGTTCATAGAGTAGAAAGGACACTGGTTCTCAGAAAGGACACTGGGTGATTTTTTTTCTTTTTTGTTTCTTTCTCTTTTCTTGTAGTACAGGTGGTTAGTAAAATGAATCGAAAGATCATGGGGACGATCGGAAGACCAGATAGGTGGCAGCAATTTTCTTTCTTTTTCATCGGCTGTGTTTGATGTTTTTGTTTTTAAATGTGTAATAATCATGTGTATCAAAATATTTTGTGCAGATGGCTAATGCCTGGTATGATACATTAGTGTTATATCACTGTATTAATGGCTATTCACATTCTCCTCTGTATAACACTTGTGCTGCTGTTAATGGTTGTATATTGTGTAGTGTGGTTTGCTGATTGCTGATGCGGTTGCGTGTGCATTAACTGTTAATGATGTTTAATGCATCTTTGTTTGGTGTTTGTGGAGTTAACTCAGGCTATAAAAGATAAAATATGGCAGAGCAGCTCATACACACCATCATCATCTCCTGATGAGCAGCGTCTTCAGTCTTCAGTCTGATTCCCGGTAAGATCATGAATTATTGTGTCCTTGTGTTTCAGCCTTTGCTCAAACGTTAGCACATGTTGTTCAGCTTGCTGACTCTCTAGTGTGCTTGATTATGTGGAGAACAAACTAAAGAAATTAAGGTGGAATTGTTTAAAGCAGGTTTGAAAGTTTTCTTTAAGGTTCTGCTGGATCCAGTTTCCATTTCAGGTTCTTGAGATTCATTTGATGATGATCGTAAACTTCATCATCTGTGTTCCCAGGTGAAGAGGAAATGCATTTAAATTGGGCTTTCTTTTGGACATAATTAATATATTTAAATTATACTGTATTAAGCGTGTTATTGTGAAACAACTGTTCAAGATATGCTTAAGATCAATTTTAAAGCGAGACATGGCAGGCAAAAACATCGTGTTTTTTTCACTGATCAATGTTGAGATTTTGGGATATTTGTCTTCAGTAACATGTCTTCTTTTAGACTTGTGCTGAAAAAAAAAAAAAATACACATTTAGGTCTTTATTTTATTACACTTTGTCTGTTTGCGTGTGTAGATTTCGCCTAATTCAAAGTTGTCATTGTAAATCCGTGATCGCGGTCTGCACCGTCATCACACACACACCGCTACAGATGTGTGATTGTGTATCCTGAAGTGTGTGTGAGTTGCTCAGGTCATATTCCCCAGTGATGGACTGCTGATGTGGTGATGTGTTGTTTTGGAGGATCCGTGACGGATGAAGCGATGATGAGTTTTGGATGTTAAACAGTGGGATGCATGGATTTTACTTGGACCTAAGGCATATTTTGTCTGTAATTCGTGGCTTTCAATAGAAATTAGTGAAATTTTGGCATAAAAATCTGTAAAAGCCTTTTTCTCAAAATGAGTTTTTTCTCACACTCCGAGTGAGGATTTTCCACTTCTGCAGCTCCTACACACCAAACTCTACACTCGTATTCATAACTATATTGTGAAGGTTTGTCCGGAGGGATTTGTTCATATGTCATTCTTGGCCTGATTTATATGACATTTTATGCCTAAAAATGGGGCGGAAATCAATTGTTTAAGGTTATTGACAGTATTTTCTGATTGACAGGGTAACAAAAGGAGATATTCATAACCCCCTCTGGTAATGTCTTTTCACTGAATATATCAACAAAATGCTCAAATAATTTTGAACGTTGTTTTTTTCCAATGGTTTAGATTCGTCACTTCAAATAAATGCAAATCGGCTCATATTTAATTAGCTATTAGCTAAGGCTGCAAAAAACGATTATTTGGATAATCGATTAATCTAATGATTATTAGAACGATTAATCGACTAATCGTCGATTATTTTGCCAGCTAATCATTAAGTCTGGAACGTTTATTCAGCTTTTTCCATTAACATTGAGTTAATGTCGTGTTCCCCACGGTTCTGGTAATGTTTTCCATTCCATTAGTTAAAACATTGAGTTATACATATTCTTACTATAATATAAAAAAAAGAAAATCAGTTCAGCTTTTGAAATAGTGGTTTAAATGAACTTAGAGCCAACTAAACAGGTCATTCTCTTAAAGTTTAACTCAAATCACACACAAATGCTCTCTAAGCATTGTTTAATAAGCCCACTGCTTTTCATAGAACTGAAACAGAAAAAGGGTCATAACTTCAGGACACAAAAAGGGTAAAATATTAATCTGCAAACCATTATAATAGATATAAAATGACAGAGATGTTCTCATTCACCTTTTGATTTAGAGAATGAAAAAGAAAAAGTAACTGCCATGATATTATTCCTAACATCTCCTTTTGTAAGTCTTCATGATTATGGAACAAAATACAGGCAAAGACTATAATGCATAATAGTGTTACAATAATAAAAACAGCTAAGCTCAATCAAGCTTTATTCTATGCAAAATAAATCATCACATTACTGTAATTATATTATTATTGATGATGATATTATTACTATTAATAGTATTGCATGATCTAATAAAGAGATTTACGGTACCGCTAGTTAGTTAGCTCCAGCTGGAGAACACTCAGTTCTCACCGGCTCCTCTTTTGCCCGGATGTTTCCTCTTTAAGTGCTCCAACATGCATGTGGTGCTCCTGTGAAAAGCACGTTCTGCCTTGCATGTATTGCACATGACAGCATTCTTGGTTTTAAGTTTTGTAAAACTTTGTCAAACCTTGCTAGTTCGGATTCGTTTGCACTCCGTCATAATTCGCGCTGTTTTTTCTTTTACCGCACTTGCATTTGTAAGGGCTGCATTACACTCTAGCGCCACAGCGCCGTAGCGGTCAAATCGCGATATTGCACGCCCATACATTAAGTCACGTGAGATCAGACGACTACTCGACAACAAAGATATTTGTGGACAATGTCGACTAAACGTTGCAGTCCTGCTATATGTAAAAATAAAATTAATTATTACTTATTATTAAAAATTAATTATTATTTTTTCTCCTGTTCATGTGAGTAATCAACTGGTAAAGATTCATGGTGATGTCTGTAAGTTAATATTTTTACCCTATTCACCTGTAGTGTCTCGCCTTACACTATTTGCGATATATTTTAATATATTATTCTTAAAACACTTGCGGGGAAAGAGTTATAAACTCTGAGTGAACTTTAAAAATGAAAGCATCAGATATAAAGTTGAGTTTATATGTTTATTTGTGAGTGAATTGTGTGGTTAAAGTAATTCCAGTTTCACGCGTTTGGATCCAATATGTGTGTGTGTGTGTGTGTGTGTGTGTGTGTGTGTGTGTGTGTAATCTGAGGCATTTCCTCCGTTAGATCAAGAATCTTTAAGATGTGTGTTTCTCCAGTGTGTGCAGTGAATGAAGAGCTCAGTGGAAACTTGTGAAACATCTGTCAGTCTGTGTGTTATTCCACAAACTTCTGCTTTGACCTGCAGACCAAACACACACTCCTGTCAGTAACGTAAGTTCTTCAAGATTTATTCCTCCTTTAATAAACCATTGTACACTTGCAGCTGTGCTGGACTGAATATTCACAACAACAGCATTCTTGCTTCTGTCATATTGTTCAAATGGAGGATTTACTAACTTTAATCTGACATTTCACCTATTTCAAGCTTTCTAACATTACACACACTCCTCTAAACAACATGTCAAGAAAACTGAGCAAACTGCATTTCAACAATCACACAGAAAACACGTCACGTCATATATTTATCTCTAATGTTTTTAATAAAGAAAATATATGATTACAATAGTAAATGAATGCATGTTTTTAATGATTGGTTTGTTATTTAGTGCCTGTCAAGATTTCATGAAACAATGGCAGAACAAAACGCCAGCATCAACGGATCAAGAGGAGGAGATTATAATATCAACGGATCAAGTGGAGGAGATTATGAAGATGAACGGATGCGTCAGATGTGGGTATTTCTCAGTAAACTTGATGCTGCAGACCCAATAATTCTCATGATCATTGCCGGCATTGATATTGTAATGATGATCTTAACTCTGATTGCGTTGTGTGCTCTTCTCAAATCTCAGCGCTCCACTCCAGTGTTTGTTATTCATTTGATTCTGTCAGATCTCATTCAGATCATTTGTACATTAGCATTGACAATCACATGGTCTTGGAAGCTGTATAATGCATATATATATAGTTTGATTGCGGGTGTGTATTTTATGGCATGTGTTGCTCTTGAACGATATCTTCTGGTTTCTCATCCTATCTGGTCCAGATCTCATCATTCACTGAAAGTCTGCTGTGTTATTTCTGTCATCGTCTGGTTTGTTCCTCTGATCTTTGCAGACTTTAGTTATTATCTAGATTTTAACCATCTGCCCCGATCGATCGGCTGTTTAATCCCCTACCCGATAATCATTCTGTGTTTTATCGGCACTTGTCGCGGTCTTTCACGCGCAATATCTCTTACTTCTGTAAAGCGCAGAAAGATTTTGGGCAGTTTGTTCCTGGTGCTTCTGACGTACACTTTCCTCATCCTCCCCTACATAATCACGACTTTTATTAGAGAATATAGAGCTCACAGTTACAGTTACAGTCACAACAGCAGGGTATTGCTCGATATATTTTGGCGTTTTTCTGAGTATCTCCTGTTCCTGAACCCGCTGGCTGACTGTGTCCTGTACATGTTCATCAGGCCTGATGTCGGAGGGTTAATGAAGTCTGTTCACTGCTGTTGTAGAACTGACACACATCAGGATTCGACACACACACACGGGACGAACACTCTGGAGTCAGTAGTGCAGCGTTTGCCTGCTGTGTTTCAGTGCTAAAGCCTGCGTCTCATTCACGGACCTGCACTTCAGTTTCAACATCATGAAGTCAATGCCATTCTGTGGGTTGGAGGGTTGTATAAAGCACGGTTTATTCTCTCTTCAGATCAACAACATCAAGTAGTTTCAGCTCGTAGTCTTGCTTGTGTTCCTAATGCATCTACATTATACTCTTTTGACCAAATAACTACTATTCACGCTGTTACAAAGATAACTGACATAATGTACATATGCTCTCATGTCCATCAAAAGATGAATAACTTTCTTTCTTCTGTAAAAGACAATATTGTGAGATGATTTTATGAAGTCAGTGGACAGTTTCGGGTGAACTATCCCTAAAAACACTTGATTTAAAGTGCAGAAAGTATATCAGAAGAGATGTAAGTTTATATGAAATATTAACCAGAGCTTGCATGTAAATCAGAAGAGAGTTATTAGTAATATTGTTGTGTGTTTATAGAAGTGTTTCATATGGAGTCAGAGACTGTCCTGTATTCTCTCTCTTCTGTCATTAATATAATTAAAGATCTCTCAGTTCTCCTGAGTGTGTTTCTGTCTTATTTGACTAATAACAGCTGAGCTGAACTGGAAGTGTATAAAAGAGAGAATCCACTTGCTCAAATGACTTTAATGAAGAGATTCCCGATGGAAAAACAGGATCATCATGAAGTCCTGATTGCTCGTCTGAGAGGAGATCCTGAAGTGTGTGTGCAGTGAAGACTGTGAAGGCGACTCGGCCAGATCTCTCTCTCTCTCTTCTTGTGTGGATCACACACACACCTGTGGATATCACGGGGTTCACACTCGTGTTGATGATAAACTGGGTTAGGGGTTAGGGTACCGTTCTCCTGGCAACCGCCAAACCCAAACTCGTCCACCGGATTGGCAGGCAGATGAGGGTGATTCACCTCTCCAGAGAACACCTATCCACTGCTGTAGAGTCCAGTGGCGCTGCTTTACCACTGCGTCCCACGCTTTGCATTGCACTTGGTGATGTGAGGCCTGGATGAAGCTGCTCGGCCATGGAAACCCATTCTATGAGCTAATCTAATTCTCCAGTTAATCTGACGGCCCCAGAACTTTGGAGATCTGCAACTATTGCCTCAGCATGTGCTGTCCCGTTCTGTGACCTTACCGTGGCTGAGTTGCTGTTGTTCCTAATTGCACTTTGTTGTAATACCACAAACAGTTGGCCGTGGAATATTGAGATTTCAGGAAAGGACTTATTGCACAGGTGGCAACCGATCACGGTACCAGGCTCGAGTTCTGAGAGTGACCCGTTCTTTTAAAGATGTGTGTTGATTTATACACCTGTGGCCGTGGAAGTGATTGAACACCTGAACTCAATTCACTAACCCTAACTTAACAATATTTGTTTGTCTTGTGCTTCTGTGCCATTGCCTGAAATAAATAAATGAAATTGTGATTTTACAAAAAAAAAAAAAAAAAGACAAATCTCCTGAACTCCAAACTGAATGTCCGAATGGGAAAGAAAGGGGATTTAAGCAGTTTTGAGTGTGGCATGGCTGTTGGTTTCTGAGTATTTCCCAATCTGCTCAGTTACTGGGATTTTCACAAACAACCATTTCTAGGGTTTACAAAGAATGGAGTGAAAAGGTAAAAACATCCAGTATGCGGCAGTCCTGTGGGAGAAAATGCCTTGTTGATGCGAGAGGTCAGAGGTCGACTGATTCAAGCTGATAGAAGAGCAACTTTGACTGAAATAACCACTCGTTACAACCGAGGTATGCAGCAAAGACACACAACCTTGAGGCGGATGGGCTTCAACAGCAGAAGACCCCACCGGGTACCACTCATCTCCTCTACACATAGGAGAAAGAGGCCACAATCTGCAAGAGCTCACCAAAACTGGACAGTTGAAGACTAGAAACATGTCGCCTGGTCTGATGAGTCTGGATTTCAGATGGTAGAGTCAGAATTTGGCGTAAACAGAATGAGAACATGGATCATCATGATTTGTTCCCACTGTTGGGCTGGTGGTGGTGGTGTAATGGTGTGGGGGATGTTTTCTTGGCACACTTTACCCCCTTAGTGCCAATTGGGCATCGTTTAAATGCCACGGCCAACCTGAACATTGTTTCTGACCATGTCCATCCCTTTATGGCCACCATGTCCCCATCCTCTGATGGCTACTTCCAGCAGGATAATGCACCATGAATCATTTCAAACTGGTTTCATGAATATGTCAATGAGTTGACTGTAGTAAAATGGCCGCCACAGTCACCAGATCTCAACCCAATAGAGCATCTTTGGGATGTGGTGGAACGGGAGCTTCGTGCCCTGGATGAGCATCCCAAGTGGACGCCGACACGGATGAATATGAACGAATATCGTATTAATCGAAAGGGAGTTGCGTTGTTTGACAGAAGCGAGATCTGCTATTGTGATAATGTTCACTTCAGTTACAGGACAGCTTTTATTGCTTCACTTCAGCTTCATAAAGAGACATTTGGGGGTGATTTCAAATATGAGCAGTGTTTCTCAGAAATCACGTACTGCTTTTGTTTTATTTATTTATTTTTTTCAAATTTAATATTTGATGAATGTAGTATTTTCATTTAAATAAAATTTTATTTTTAAAATGTGTTCATTTATTATGTTGTAATTCGTTTTAATGCTGTATTTTTAAAAATGTTAAATGTAATTAATTTTTATTATAATAAAATGTACAATATTCTATTTTTAATTTTTTTACAATTTCACACTTTTTCTCTCCACCTTCCCCCAGACTACAGTTTGAAAGAGATTCTCCTCAAGGTCTTTCTAACTTTATTTATATTTATTCAATGTTGTTGACTTTAAGCATCAGTTAACAAGGGAGGTTTATTCAGGGATATAAAACACTGAGACGTCTTGTACTTACAAATAACTAAACTTGAGGACAAATATTTACAAAATCATATTGATTGTCTTTGAACATATTAATGCCCATAAATGTTGAGAATCCAGAGTCTGGAGTCAGTCTTTGCTCGTGTGAGGGACAGAGCCAGCGGCGGCTGATGATCTTCCTCTCGATGTGACTCACACACACACACACACACACTCGTGTCTCAGCTGAGCATGGAGAGGTGCTGGCGGTGGATGTGGTCCTGCTCCAGCTCCTCGTGACTGGGATGCCAGAGCCGGGTCAGGATCCGCTCCATGTTGAGCGCGTACATGCTGTGAGACGGCATCACCCTGCGCTGCACCTGCACACACACACACATGTATGTGTACATCTAGGCGGGATTTGTTTAAAGCGATGTCCCAAAATGCAGTTGTCTGGAAACACAGCTAGTGACGTGTGGGACATTTTGTCGCTGGTGTACAGTAGCGTAGTTGACCTGTGACCCAGAGGCACAGCACGAGTTATGTTTGTGTGTTGAGTCGCACCTGCAGGGCTTCCAGCAGGTCGTATCCGCTGATGGGCGGCAGTGGGGGCGGGACACGGTCTCCTGAACACGCCAGCAGGAGCGCGGCCTGTTGCTCCGCATCGTCAGGTGACACTTGAGGAGGAGGCCCCGCAGGAAGTGATGCGCTGGGGGGAGGCCTGCCACACACACACACACACACACACACACACAGGTCAACAGTGCGGGTACAAGTAACTCGAGTTCTGTAATCAGATTACTGTTCAAGAAACTAGTAAATGCATTACTTTTTCAATTTACAACAAAATATCTGAGCTACTTTCCCACATTTATCAACTGAAAGCACTCTTGTTGAGAGAAATAAAATGAAGTGTGTGTGTGTGTAAACATGACGGTTATTTTACATCTTGACTAAATGTGAACATGCATTTACTCATCTCACTTTCACGCACAAAAACAAATTCGGTATTCCTCAAAATGCAATCTATATTATACTATATTAAATGACACAAACACATATTATGTATTTAATCTCACTATATTAATCAATGTCTTTGCTTCTGACTATCAATGATCTAATTCAACCATACTAATAAACACAATAATAATAGTGTTGAACTGTTGTTCCAGGGTTCCTGCACACTTTTTAAAGTAAAATTTAAGGCTTTTAAAGACCTGAAGAAATCACAATTAATACCAGACATTAGGGGTGTGCAATATTGACAAAAACATATCTCGATATTTTCATCGTTTTGTTGATAATAATTAGTTGATATTTTACTGATTTTGTTTTTGCGCTGGTGCCATGGCTGGTTTAGGCCTGACAGCAGACTCGTGGAGATATTTATATTTTTCATATTCTATGCAGTGGTCAGTTCACAGCAGTGACAGAAATTATTAATTAATGTGCAATATTTGCCACCTTAAATTGACTTCCAGGGGCATTTTCACCTAAAACTTTCTAAACTTATTTAGAGTTATGCATCACGTTTTATGTCAATTATACAGTAATTATACTTATTTATACAATAATATTTAATGACACAATAGTTATACAGTACCACTGTTAGCAGTCAAATTAAATCATTCAATCAAAAATCCATCTTTGCAGAGCAGAGGTGACGCAGAAGCAGCATTAGAAGTGGCATTAATATATACACTACATTTACAATTGCAGAAATCAAGCTATAAGGTTGTTGTTTTTTTAAATCAATATTTAATATTTAAATATGAAATGATTTCTAATTTTAACATTCTACTTTTAATATGAAACTAAAACCGCCAGTAGGCGGCGGTAAATCGCTGTCTTAATAAGCGAGTTGAGGGAGTCATTCATTCAACTGATTTGTTCAAACGGGAAAGAAGCAAGTGATTGAATCGTTAAAATGACTCGTTCAAGACGCGGATTTCCTTCAAGAAATCATCGCTGTCTGTTGCATTGAGACTCTGCTTCGGTTTCATTTTGAAATTCTAGTCGGCGAAATAAAGGGAAAACAAACAATATTGATAATGTTATGGCTAAAAACTAACTCACAATGTCAATTTATTTTTAATTTAACTAACATAAATATCACATGTGTGCACGGGAAAACGGCACTCTACTGATGTGATATTCTAATATAACAACATGATATAAATATAAGGCAAAAACTAATTTGGGGACATACCTATAACCATAATAAATACATGTCTATGCCTATAACTGCACACATCACGCCGTGAAAACACGAGAGACAAATGCGATGTCAGCTCACACTCACAGTGCCTCGTCCATCGTTAAAACAATAGAGTATCATAATAGACAATACACATCGCACACCTATACGCACATAAAGAATTAGCTTACGACTGAACTGACATTTGCCAACTTTCTTCTCTCCTCCTCTCCTGTCTCGCGTGCAGGAGACGGACGTTATTCTGCCGCGAATGTGACGCGAATTGTCACGTGAACAAGCGAATCCACAAAAATAGATACAAATTAGTACGTACGCAAATTAGATGGTTTTAATTTGGAAAACATAAAGATATGACTGAGTCAAAGTGTCATCTAAAATTTAAGACCTTTCATACCTAAAAATAAGACTTTATAAGACTTTTAATAGCCTTAAATTTTAAATATCTAATTTAAAGGGTTAGTTCACCCAAAAATGAAAATTAAGTCATTAATTAC